AATGAGGCACTGGTTTTAGACAGGTAATGCTGTTGAAGCAGAAGATCCAGTAGGGTGAAGATTTCATCAAACCATCTCCAAAAGAAGCCATAGTGGGCAGGATTTGATTCTGCAAGAACCTAAAACAAAAACAAATTGGTGAATGATACTCATTTCATTACACCATTGTTTTGTATTTACCCCTTTTCCCCTCCAAATTCTACACTTTGGTCTTAAAAACTTCTTTTGGAATTTACTCTAACCTCTCTGAAGTTCCAGCTATTTAGAACAGGCCTCCACATATCGCCAGTTCTCAACAGATGATGCTAATTGGTTATTGCAAAACCCAGACTACCAATTTATTGGTTTGATTTTTTTTACCCAGGTAGCCCTAAAACCTTACAGAAATTAAATACCTTACCTTGACCACATGCTGAAGAGCAGGTCTCACTGCTGTCATTAAACCCTCCTGTGCTACCACCTCAAAGATGGATGGCTGGTCATCCACCACAGAAGCGGTTGTGAGATGAGCCCCATGCTCAGCCATCGTTTCCTGTGTGCACTGGCTTTCACTTTGCCCACAAACTCTCTAGTGAGCATGAACTTTTTGGGGATACCAAATGGTTGCTCGATCTTAAAGGCAATTTTTCTGCAGGATACCCGAAACTTACGGGAACCGAGAAAGAGAGACCTCTTCCGGACACAGAGGGGAGGGGTCTCAAATTAAGGAAGCTATGAACAAAGTTAAGGCAGATGTGAGTGGAAGTGATGTGTGGGGAGGGGGCGACTTGTCCAATGCTCCACACCAGGCAGAGTGTCTACGGGCGGCAGTATTCGGCAAAGGAGCGCCCTGGAGCTGCAGCCAGCCCTGCAGGCTGGGAATCAGGGTATGTCGTGACGGCGCAGACCGCCGGCTCCGAGGACTCGGCGGGGCCAGCGTGGGCCCGGGACGCGAGCACCAGCTCCTGCTGTCCAGTACCCCTGCCACGCCCGTCCACGCGCGCCGACCCCAAGGTAGGCGCGAGCGCGCCTCCACGCCACGCCGGCGGGGCGGTCTCCGCTTTATGACAAAAGTATTTACAAGGTCCCGGCTCTCTGCGTGAAGCACCCGGAAACAGAACGGGCCGGGGGCTCGGAAACGACCTGCACGGGACGGGCGCTCTATACCCGAACGTGGGCCCGGAAACCGGAACCAGAAAACTCTATGCTGCCACCGCCACTTCCGCCTCCGTCCCCGCGAAAATTAGAGCGGCGCTTGCGGACTGGTTTGGTAGTACGTATTTTCCACCAGCTTGTCACTCACTTTTTTAGGTGATTTTCGCGGCCTTGGGGGAAAGCCGCAGCTCTGGGCCTTTCTCCAAAGAGGTCATTTTAGCAAGGAGTTGGGAGCGCTGCCAGGACTCCTGGCACCGACGTCTGAGCCGCGGCGGCTGCAGAAGCTGCGTTTCCCCAAGCAGTGGAGTCGGGAACGGAGCGACAAAAAGCCTCCTGCGCTTGGGAACGTTCTCTCAGCGCCGGGTGGTGGTGATTTTATAATAACCAGCCGGTTTCCAGAAAGAATTTGGAGCGAGCTAGTTGGAGATCGAATCTTTAGCTTTGTTGCCGCCAATTATAACGAAAGTTTAGGACGAGAACAGTTCCTGCTGTTCTTCAAAACTGGGGATGATTTCTTACCGTTTAGGCTTTGAGTTTTACTGTCCCAAGCATAACTGTAGGTGTAAATGGCTCCTAGTCCTAGGGAAGGCTGTGGTATATTAGCGATAGGAATGCGGTAGTAAGAGGGAGTGAGATGAATTCTAATTAGCACGAACTGGGAAGAGTTATCATTTGTATACTAGAATTAATGTAATTTACGGTAAAATGAAGAGGAAGGCACAAAGATTTCCCTACACATGCTGGTCCCACACAAAATAGCCTCCCCCTAACCCACCAAAGTGGTGCATTTGTTACAAACTAATGACATTAAGTTGATACATCACAATCACCTGAAGGCCATAGTTTACGATTTACTCGGTGTTGCATATCCTAGGATTTGGACAAATGTATAAATGACATGCATTCATCTTTATAAAATCATAAAACATTTTCACGACCCTAAAAATTATCTATGTTCCTTTTTATTACTCCGTCAATCCTTGGTAACCACTGATCTTTTTACTATATTGTTTTGCCTTTTCCAGAATGTCTCATAGTTGGAATCATGCAGTATGTAGCTTTTAGGATTGGTTGATTTAGTTGGAATCATGCAGTATGTAGCTTTTAGGATTGGTTGATTTAACTTAGCAATGTGCAATTAAGTTTGTCACATGTCTTTTTTTTTTAATGACTTGATAGCTCATTTATTTTTAGTGCTGAGTAATACACTATTGTCTGGATGAACCACAGATTATCCACTAGCCTAGCAAAGGAGATCTTGGTTGCTTCCAGGTGTTGGCAATTATTAACGAAGCTGCTATAAACATTCATGGTTAGATTTTTATGTAAATAAAAGTTTTCAGCTTCTATGAGTAAATTGCTTGCTGCTGGATTGTGTAGTTAAGAGTACATGTAGTTTTGTCAGAAGCTGCCAAAACCATTTTAAATTCCCAGAAGCAATGATTTTTTTCTCCACAACAGCGTGGCAAACATTTGGCATTGCCAGTGTTCTGGACCTTGCCATTCTAATAGGTGCCTAGTGGTATCTCAGTGCTGTTTTCATTTGTGTTTCCTTGATGATACATGTAGTAGAATATCTACTTTCTTCATGATAACGTTGTTCAGTACCACGGATTAAATTATCATTGGTATATTGATGACTTAAAAATTTAAATCACTGCTTATCTTAAGGCAGATATGGTGAACTACCTCCGCTAGGATATTTTACCCAAATCCAACGTATACGTAAGTGAACTCATCATCTTACTACAGTTTCCCAAACTTGGAAACATCTCTTACATTTTCCTACTTTTATGACTAATACCACCTTGCTTAAAGCTAAAGTGTGGACATTATTGGCTCCAGTGTCAGACTTTGTAGACTTTTTAATCACACTATTTAACTTTTCTATATCTTAAGTTTTCTGTAAATAGGCAAAATAACAGTAACTAACTAGTTATCAGATTGTGAGGATTTAAAAATATAATAAATGTAAAATACTTAGAGTGACTACAAATAATCAATGTTCAATAAATATTAACTATAATGTTATTTAAACCACCATCTTGTGGCTGGGTCATTTCAACAGTTTCCTAAGTAGATTCTCATAGGAGACTATTAATTAAATAAGGAAATACTAAATTATTTAATATTTAATTACTATTAAATACTTAATTACTATTCCCTAATTAAACTATGAATTCCTGACAATATTTTACTTAGACTTAGATCTACACTTTAACCCCTGATCTCTAGTATAATTTCTAACATGTAGTAGTCCTTGATAAATATCCATTGAATTGGTAGTGGAGTCAGAAAGAAGACAGAGGTATATATATACTAAAGTTTAAAAAAAGGGGAGATTGGTCAACAGTTTTACCCAAAAGTGGAGGGGTAAGAGGTCTGAAAAATTCTTGGATTAATGGTGTGTTTCATCATTCACTTTTCCCTAAAATGTGTGCATATCATAGAGAATGACTTGGAAAATAACTTTGTAATTACCCAGCAATAATAATTATATGCCCTGGGGCCCTCCATGGTGGCACAGTGAGTTAAAGCACAGCACTAAGAAGCTAAAGCCACTTCCATTTGAGTTCCATCCCCACTTACCCAAACTCATCCAGCAATGATCATTCATTCTGTTGAAATCTAGCTTTCTATACATATAGATGTAATTATTTTAAAAAAGATTTACTTTATTCATTGATGCATACAAAAGCTGAGGTGCAGGCTAGAAGATGTGGGGCATGAGTGGATTCACCAGAGACAGTGAGGAGCAGGACAGGCGGCTATACTAAAGAACTGCTGAGGGGAGCAGCTGTCAAGACAGGAGAGGACTGTGTGCCATGTGGGTCAGCTCCTAGGCCAGGAATGGAACTCATGCTGCAGTGGCTGTGGACAGACACTTAACACTGAGACCCATTCCCTTGCACCACCAGGGAGGCACATAACATTTTTTGACTCAACATTTTATTGTAAATTTTGTCAAAATATCCTACGTTATGCAACTATTTGACCATAAATGTTTACATTGTTTTGTTTTACACCTACATTTTCAAATTTCCCTTATTTTAATAAGGGAGATACTAATATGTGAATAATATATGACAGTTTTACAGATTTCCGTTTACTTTCTCAAAATTTTAAAGTACTTATATAACTTTCAACTCGCAGAGTAAATGGGCAAAAAAAAAAAAAAAAGGAGGAGAATCCCTTGACTACTCTCCATCCTCTTTCTTCTTCTCTCCCTTCCCCCAGTAAAGCTTAGGGACAGCTAATTTCATTTACCTTAATCATGTTCAGTTCCAGATCCTAGAATCTATATCTTGGTATCCGAAAGAAACTTACTTTTGTGTAAGCACACTTACTACATTCTACGCGCTTTACCTACACTATTCTTTTTTAATTTCACAAGGATCAGAGAGACAGCTGACTTCATTTCACAGCAAGAAGACAAAGTTCAGGCCCGTGCTGGAATTCAGACGTCACACCATCTTTCTTGAGCACTCTTCCTCTGATCCCAACTACCCGTGTATAGACTTAGGCTAGCTCTCTATTGTTCCCTGAAACAGGGAAATCCACTGTTGTGTTGGTTTTAAAGAAAGGAGCAGGGTATTTCACACTCTGCATTCATAAGATTTTTAGAGGACTCTTGTGAGAGGAAACAATGTCAGTTTGTTTAACATATATTAAACTGACCAGTCTCTAAGGTTCACTTTGCAGGTCTTCTCCCCCAACCAAAAATAAACAAGGAAAAAACAAACGAATAAACGCCTTTCCGTCTCCTAGGCAACAGATTCCCTCCGCCTTTCGCGTTCTCTCTCGCGCGCGGGGCTGACGTCACGCGGCGGGGTTCTCTGACATCAGGGCTTCCTGTTCACCATCTTTGTCCCTGGCAAAGTCGGTTTTGCGCAGTGGCTTAGATCTGGAGGAGTCGTGACGTGCAGGAAACCATTACAACACACTCGGGCCGTGCTCTCTGCCTGCTGCCGCCACCCCCGCCCTTGCCTCCGGTGAGTTCAAGGCGGCTAACTTTGGGGTGTGTCCCTCATGAATGGGGTGGGGGAGAACCCAGCTTGAGTCGGACACGGGTAGTGGAAAGGAAATCTTAGAAGCGTGACCGTTGAGGATGAAGTGAGCCGTCGGGTGTGACCGTTGTGAGGAGAGGGTTGGAGAAAAGGACTCCACCACGAAGGCTGTGGCGGAGCGAGGGAATCTTCGGGTGTGGCATCTGTTGGAGTTAGAGGGGCCTGGGCAGTAGGGGAATACGACGCTCGCCGTCGCGGGTTAGGAAGGCCAGCGGCCAGGGGTGTGGCGGGTGGAGGCTGGAGGCGGAGAGGAGAACCCTCTTCCTCTCCTGGCGGCGTTTGCTCAGACTGGAAAATGTCCAGCTAGCAAAAAGGAAAAGAAACTCCCTCAAAGGTTTGGTCAGATGGGCAAACCTCGCCCGTCTCCTGTAATTTGAGGCTAAGAAACCTCTCCCTTACCTTGTGATGGAGGAACATAACGTCCCTACAATCATGAATACCTGAGGGGGGAAAAGGAATTCCCGACGCTTGCGGGAAGTGAAGAGAAACCAGAATTGACCCGAGGTGAGAGGTGAAAGGGAAGGAGAAGGGGGAGGGGAGTGGTAAATCTTAACAAGGAATTTTTCTTTCCGGGTTTAGCAGGAATGATCTGGTATGAGAAAGACTGTAGATCAAGCCAAAAATAAAGAAACTGGAACTTCCTGTTACTTCCATAGTCTTTTGAGTCAACGAATTTATTTGTACTGTTTGTTTCGGGGTAGTTTTCTGTTTGGGGGCTAGCTAGCTTTTTATTGAACTTCTATGGCTACTTCATTATGAAACGGTGGGCATGCTTTATGAAACTTTTGCTGTTTTGAAAGAAGTATTTTTTAAATGCCAAACTATCATTATGGTATAAAAGAACAAGAAAACACATTCAGCCCAAAAAAACCCAGAATGACTAAGAAGGTGGTCTCAGTGATGTACAATTTAAATTTTTAATTACTTTCTTGGTATACTTCTTTTGCTTAGCCTTAGGGTACACTTACAAAGTAATAATAGAAAGCAGCAGATGAAGCTGTACAGGAAAACATGTAACACATTCCAGTGATGACTAAGCGAGGTGGTAAGGTGAGAACTGTTTGCAGGTATCTTAATAGTTTAAACTCCCAAGGAAGCAGAATAGTTAAGTGTGTTCTGCAGACAGACTCGCTGAAAAGTTAGGTGGTCACATTAACATAAAACTAACATTCTGTGGATTAAAGACTCAAGAACGCCCAGTTCTTCCATTTTTTCCCCCCTTTAACACATCCATACTTTAAAACAGTACATTTTAGAC